CATCATGATCAGCAACGAATGTGAAGAATACTATACCTAAGACAGTATAGACAAATCTAAGGGATTACTTTCCAAACTTAACTTGATTGGAAAATGGTGATTGATCTGAGAGCCACCTTGCTTCCCTGTCCACTTTCCATCCTGAAGTTGGAATCCAGACACCTGTCCCCTTCTTTCTCAGTCTGTTAAGCTGATTCAATAAACACCTGTGCTCTTTCCGCCATCTTCCCGCACCGCCACCATGGTGTGCATGAATGTCCTGGCCGATGCTCTCAAGAGCATCAACAATGCAGAGAAGAGAGGCAAACGCCAGGCCCTCATCAGGCCCTGCTCCAAAGTCATCGTTCGGTTCCTAACTGTGATGATGAAGCACGGTTACATTGGTGAATTTGAAATTATTGATGACCACAGAGCTGGGAAGATCATTGTGAACCTCACAGGCAGGTTGAACAAGTGTGGAGTGATAAGCCCTAGATTTGATGTGCAACTCAAAGACCTAGAAAATTGGCAGAACAATCTGCTCCCGTCCCGTCAGTTTAGCTTCATTGTACTGACTACCTCAGCTGGCATCATGGACCATGAAGAAGCAAGATGAAAGCACACAGGAGGGAAATTCTTTTCCTGGGATTCTTTTTCTAGAGATTTAAAACAGAAATAAAAAGCCTTTATGGAAAAAAATAAACACCTGTGTCTCTGATTAGGGTCCCGTGTCTGTGTGTTGTACATGCATCATGTGACGTCTTCAGATTTAGGAGACAGAGAAAGGACTTGGGTAGACACTCAGAGCAGGGAAACTCCCACTGACTGACTAGTTATCATGGGAATGCCATTTCAGCCATTTTGTTGCTATGTAGACCAGGCTGTCCTCAAAATCCCAGAGAACCAGCCATCTCTGCCTCCCAAGTGCAGAGATTAAAAGCATTGGCCCCCACCACACAAGGCTCACTGTGGTTTTGTGAGTCTGTAGGACAGGAACTGTCTGAGGCTAAAGAGGATGGAATCAGCCACAGGTTTCATCTCAGGCTGCCAGGATAGGAACGAGATGCACAGCTACTCACAGCTTATATTGTCTCTGGGTTTATCAAGAAAAAAAAGAAGAAAAACCCAATCAATGACAGTGGGTGCTGAAACATTATTTGAGAGAATTTGCACTTTTGATATATTAATCAGACTCTATCAAAGGGGTAGGACAGATTGACTGACAGAATGTCACTCCGGGAAGGTAATATGTATGCTATAAAGATTATCTCCAAGGATGAGACATTATCTCTACTGGGCAGACTCATACCTTGGAATCCTCAATGAGGGCATTAGAGCAAAACACTGGACAGGAAATCCAGACATTATAAAAGGATATGGTAAATAGATTTGAGAAAATTGAGGAAATTATTGAATTTGATGACGAGGAACAAAAGGGACAAAGGTAAAATCGAACCTTTTTCAGTATGTAAAAATTTGCTGGATAGCTTCCCCAGAGTTATGTCTGCCTTTCCAGTAATAACAACAGAAAAAGTACCTGGCCCCCATTACCCTAATGTTGTCAAAGAATATGCATAAGAGCCCATAGGTACGACTGATCTAAAGGAAATTAAACAAGGAATTGTAGCTTAAGGACTGCATTCATCCTTTGTTAGGGAGATGGTCAAAACCTGGGCTTTTAGTAACAAAGCAACTCCTCAAGATTGGGCTCAGTTAATTTCCACAGTCCTCAAAAGTGGACAGCACTTACTTTGGAAGTGCATTTTTGAAGAGAAAAGGAGAATTTTAGAACAACAAGAAAAAGGAAATGGACTTAATATTTCCCTAGATCAAATTTTAGGCAATATTGTTTACTTTGATCCTCAGAATCACACTCTTTTTTTATAGGCTCACTGACCTTTATTTATGGCTAGAATCCACTTATGAGTGAGCACATACCATATTCATCCTTTTGGGTCTGGGTTATCTCACTCATAATAGTGTTTTCTATTTCCATGCATTTGCATGCAAAATTCAAGATGTCATTGTTTTTACCACTGAGTGGTACTCTAATGTGTATATATTCCAAACTTTCTTTATCCATTCTTCCATTGAAAGGCATCCAGGTTCTGGCTATAACAAATAATGCTGCTATGAAAATAGTCGAACAAATGCTTTTGTAATATGAATGGACATCTCTTGGGTATATTCCCAAGAGTAGTATTGCTGGATCCTGGAGTAGGTTGATCCTGAATTTCCTGAGAAACTGCCACACTAATTTCCAAAGTGGTTGCACAAGTTTGCATTCCCACCAGCAATGGATGAGTGTACCCTTACTCCACATCCTCTCCAGCAAAAGCTATCATTAGTGTTTTTGATTTTAGTCATTCTGACAGGTGTTAGATGGTATCTCAAAGTTGTTTTGATTTGCATTTCCCTGATTGCTAAGGATGTTGAGCATAACCTTAAGTGTCTTTTGGCCATTTGAAATTTTTCTGTTGAGAATTCTCTGCTCAATTCAGTGCCCCATTTTTTCATTGGGTTAATTAGCATTTTAATGTCTAATTTCTTGAGTTCTTTATATATTTTGGAGATCAGACCTTCATCTGTTGCGGGGTAGGATCACACTCTTTATGATGACCACACCTTTTCCCTATGTAATACAGCAACTTTAAAGGCTTGGCACAGGATTCAGGAACCAGAAAAGAGAGTTGAATCATATTTCAGGGTTAAACAGGGTCAGAAAGAACCTTTTAGTAACATTTTGCAAAGACTAACTAGAGTTGAACAAATAGGGGTTACTGACCAGATGCTAGACATATAATAATTGAAACTTTGGCTTATGAGAATGCCAACACAAAATGCAAAAGGATCCTTGGGCCTTTAAAGATCAGATCACCACTGATGTAGATGGGTCTTCTTTCTATCTGTTGCTTTCATTGGTTAATTAATAAAGAAACTGCTTGACCTGATAGGTCAGAACATAGGTAGGTGGGGAAGACAGATCAGAATTGTGGAAGAAAGAAAACAGAGGCAGGCAGATGCCATGGCTCTCCTCTTAAAGATGGACATGGGTTAGAATCTTCCCGGTAAGCCACGACCTCGTGGTGGCATACAGATTATTAGATATGGGTTAGTCAAGATGTGAGAGCCAATAAGAGGATGGAGATAATGGATCAGGCAGTGTTTAAAAGAATACAGTTTCCATATAATTATTTGGGGTAAAGCTAGCTGGGTGGGCAGCGGGAAGTGGCCCGCCATTCCTTCAACAGACATTGAATTCTGTTGGCCAGACAACATTCCATTGGCCAGACAACAGATCTTTCCATAGGACTTTTGGCAGGACAGAGTTAAACTCACAGGTTCAATGCACCATTGTAGGTGTCAATCCTTTATCATTAGTATTTAAGTGATTTAATACAAATAAGGAATGTGATAATAAATGATGAGGAACAAAATATTCATGTGCTCTCTGAAGCCTTTCAATCTGTAATTTTAATGTTTGATGTGTTCTTTTAAAAATTGCCTGGCCCTGGGGATTATATGGGATGCCTGTAGTATGTACAATATGCCATTGTGCATAAAAAGTTTCAAAAGCTTTAGAAACATAAGCAGGACCATTATCTGTAAAAGTGGCTATAAAGGGCGGAGCTCTCCCGAATCCCATCCCAGCCTTCATCCAGGTACACCTTCCTCTCTTCCCCCTTCCCCCTGGGGCCACAAGATCTCCCCAGAGCTGCTCCCTTGCACGCTGGGCCTGGGCTGTGGGCTCAGCCCGGCAGGGGCAGTTCCTGTGCTTTGATAGCCTACCTGAGCACAAGCAGGCCTTGTGTCAGCTCAGCCACATTCCTGGCCAGCAAGAGACAGTGAACTTCTAGCAGACATTCATTGGAGGAGGGGTGAGTTTGCTCCTGGCCCGAGGGCTTCGGCTAGGAGGAATTCAGACTTTCCTTGCCCCCCTCGACTTTCTGGTCACCCTGCAGTGGTGGCTCCACCCTGCAGAGCTCTCCTGAATCCCATCCCAGCCTTCATCCAGGCACACATTCCTCTCTTCCCCCTCCCCCCTGGGGTCACAAGATCTCCCCAGAACAGCTCCCTTGCGTGCTGGGCCTGGGCTGTGAGTGCAACCCGGCAGGAGGGAGTGCCTGTGTTTCAATAGACTGCCTGAGGAAAGGTAGACCTTCTGTCAGTGAAGTCCCTGACCAACAAGGGAACCTGACCTGGTAACAGAAGATCCAATAGAGAGCATTTGAACGAAGAGATGTGCAGACGCCAAGGCAAGAACTCCTCCAACAATCTAAAAAGAACATGAAATCACCAGATCCCAACGACCCTACAATGGAAGGACCTGAACCTCTTAATTCAGAAGAGGTGGAAAAAAGTGCCATTATGAAAGCAATAGAGTCCCTTAACAGGATATGAATAACTCCCTTAAAGAACTGGATGAGAAATACAACAAAAAGATTGAAGAAATGAGTAAAGAAATGGATGAGAAGTATAACAAACAGTTCGAGGAAATGTGTAAATCCATGAATGATACACTGGAAAACCAAGAAAAATCAATCAAACAGGTAATGGAAACAGTTCAAGAAAACTGAAATGGAGGCAATGAAGAAAACACAAAACGAGGGCTGGCTGGATATGGAAAATCTAGGTAAACGAACAAAGACTACAGAATCAAGCATAACCAATAGGATACAAGAGATGGAAGAACGAATCTCAGAGTCTGAAGATACCATAGAGAAAATAAATGCTCTGATCAAAGAAAACAGCAAATCCAACAAATTCTCATCACAAAACATTCAAGAAATCTGGGACACAATAAGAAAACCAAATCTAAGAATAATAGGGATTGAAGAAGGAGAAGAACTACAGATCAAAGGCCCAGAAAATATATTCAACAAAATTATAGAAAACTTTCCCAACCTAAAGAACGATATTCCCATGAAGGTTCAAGAAGCATACAGAACACCGAATAGACTTGATCAAAAAAAAATTCCCTTGCCATATAATAATCAAAACACAAAACATACAGATTAAAGAAAGAATATTAAGAGCTGCAAAGGAAAAAGGTCAAGTAACTTATAAAGGTAAACCTATCAGACTTACACCAGACTTCTCTATGGAAACCACGAAAGCCAGAAGGTCCTGGATAGAGGTACTGCAGAAACTAAGAGACCATGGATACAAACCCAGACTACTATACCCAGCCAAGCTATCATTCACTATCAATGGAGAAAACAAAATATTCCAGGATAAAAACAAATTTAAACAAATTGTAGCCACAAACCCAGCCTTACAGAAAGTAATAGAAGGAAAATCACAATCCAAGGAATCCAACATTGCCAACATTGCCTACAATAACTCAGACATCTAGCAACCTTTCACGAGCTTAACTCAAAGAAGGGACACATACAAACTCTATTAAACAAACAAACAAAAAATAATAATAACCGGAGTCAAAAACCACTGGTCATTAATATCACTTAATATCAATGGACTCAATTCACCTATAAAAAGGCACAGACTAAGAGATTGGATACGAAAACAGGATCCAACATTCTGCTGTTTACAAGAAACACACCTCAACCACAAAGACAGACATCTACACAGAGTAGAGGGTTGGGAAAAGGTTTTTCAAGCAAACGGACCTAAGAAACAAGAAGGTGTGGCCATTCTAATTTCCAACAAAATTGACTTCAAACTAAAATCAATCAGAAGAGATGGAGATGGACATTT